AAATTTGTTGAGTGGTACCATAAAGAACAATAGTGTAAGCCTCTCCAAGGACTACCCCAGAACAGTGAAGGTGCTTGTCTTCTGCAATTATAACTTCCTCAGTAAGCTTTTGACTTCCAAGCTTCACTGGTTCTGGGTGGTCAAAGGTAAAGGCAATTTCACCACCTGTAACAAGAGCCAGACATTTCACACCTGCAAAATTTGCATGTTCAATAGCCATAACACCAGCAACACCAAAGAGCTGTTTGGGCTAATTGTAAATTAATTGCCTGTTAATAAAGCAATTTATCCCATGCTTAAAAATGCATTCATCTTTTTTCTTCCTTTTTTCCTTTTCTACATGTTTTATATTGGTGACCTGTGTTGCAGAATCAACTACTACACAGGAACCAAATATCTTTTTTTTTTGTCTGTATCCATTCCAGTATTTGTAATAGGAACTTTAGCATTTTCAATTCATTTTGGTTGATTTGCTTCAACTTTTTTTATCCAGCAGAAAGCCTTGATCTAAACAGGAATCTGCCAGCTTCTTGAGGATGTGAATTGCCTCCAAATCACCAGAGCCTTTCAATATGAGATCAGCTTCTACAGCTAATTTAGTAAAGGGATCTTTACGATGAGTAAAAAAATTTTGAGGAAAATGTTTCCACAATGTTCATTAAATTTACAGGACTATTTTGTTTCATCTTTAGAAGATAGTATTCTTGGTTGGCAGGATTTTTTTAGCACTTTGTGTATATCTTTTTAAAAACTAGTTTATTTATTTATTTTTAGAGAGGAGAAGGGAAGGAGAGAGAAAGGACAAGAAACACCATTATGCCCAAACTGGGAATTAGAATCAAATCAGCAAACTTTCACTTTGCAGGATGACACCTAACCAACTGAGCCACCAGTCAGGGCAGCATTTTGTATATATCTTACCACTACTTGCAAGCCTCCAAGATTTCTGCTGAGAAATCTGTTCATAGCCTTATTAGGGAGAGGGTCCCTTGTATGTGATGAATCCTATTTCTCTACTTTCAAAATTCTCTTTGTCTTTGTCGACAATTTAATTATAATGTGTCTCAGTGTAGACTTCTTTAGGTCCAGCCAATTGGTGTCCTTTGGGCTTCATAAATCTGGGTGTCCATTTTCCTATCCAGATTTGGGGAGTTTAAGCCACTATTTCTTTAAATAAGCTTTCTGCCCCCTTCTCTTTCACCTGGGACTGCCATAATAGGTATCATCTAGTTTCTTAGAGAAGTCCCATAAGTTCCATAGGCTTTCTTCACTTTTTAAATTCTTTTTGTTACTGTAACTGTATAACTTCAAATTACTTGTTTTCAAGGTCACTGATTCTTTATCTTGTTTAAATCTACTATTGAAATTCCCTGTTGAATTTTTCAGTCACATATTCCTCAGATGAAGAATATTTGTTTGGTTGTTTTCTATGGTTTTTGTACAACTTACTACTTTCTTCATGTATTGTTTTCTTGATATAATTTTGTTCTCTCTGTGTCTTCTCTTGTGGCTCACTGAGCTTAACATGATTTTTTAACACTTTCTAGCAATTAGTTCATAGATCTCCATTTGGGGGGATTGGTTACTGAAACTTTATTTTGTTCCTTTGTTGGTGTCAAGTTTCTTTGATTCTTCACAGTTCTTGTAGCCTTGCATTGGTGTCTGCACATTGGGAGAAGAAGTGACCTCTTTCATTCTTTAAAAACTTGCTTCTTCAAGGAAAAATCCTTGCCAGTCAGCCCAGGCAGAGTTGCTGGGTGGATCAGTTGGCGGGGACCATGGACAAGCAGGCCTGCCACCAGTGTCTGTAGGTTGGCTGGTCTGCTGCTGGTTTTCAGTCAGGCAGGTTTGGTGCTGTGGTCCATAATTAAGCCACATTCTTTTCTTGTTTAAAATTTATTTTATTGTTCAAGTACAGTTGTCTGCATTTATCCCCCACCAATCCCCCCTGACCCCAGCTATCCCCACCTCCTTCCCCTGCTTCCACCCCCATTGGTTTTGTTCATGTGTCCTTTGCAGTTGTTTCTTAAAACCCTTCCCCCCTTACCCCACATTATCCCTTCCCTCTCCTCTCTGGTTACTGTCGGATTATTCTTCATTTCAATATCTCTGGTTATATTTTGCTTACTTGTTTGTTTTGTTGATTAGGATTCACTTATAGGTGAGATCATATGGTATTTGTCTTTCACCACCTGGCTTATTTCACTTAGCACATTGCTCTCCAGTTCCATCCATGCTGTTGCAAAGGGTAGAAGCTTCTTCTTTCTTTCTGCTGTGTAGTATTCCATTGTGTAAATGTACCACAGTTTTTTGATCCACTATTTACTGATGGGCACTTAGGTTGTTTCCAGCACTTGGCTATTGTAAATTGTGCTGCTGTGAACATTGGGGTGCATAGGATCTTGTGGGTTGGTGTTTCAGGGTTCTTAGGATATAATCCCAGCAGCAGAATTGTCGGGTCAAAAGGCAGTTTCATTTTTAGCTTTATGAGGAAATTCCATACCGTTTTCCACAGTGGCTGTACCAGTCTGCAATCCCACCAACAGTGCACTAGGGTTCCCTTTTCTCCACATCCTCACCAGCACATGTTTGTTGATTTATTTATGATAGCCATTCTGACTGGTGTGAAGTGGTATCTCATTGTGGTTTTAATTTGCATGTCTCTAATGGCTAGTGATGCTGAGCATCTTTTCATATGTCTCTAGGCCCTCTGTATGTCCTCCTTGGAGAAGTGTCTGTTCAACTTTTGCCCATTTTTTAATTAGGTTGTTAGTCTTCCTGGAGTGGAGTCATGTGAGTTCTTTATATATTTTGGAGATCAAGCCCTTGTCCACCGCAGTGTCATTGGCAAATATGTCTTCCCATATAGTTGGTTCTCTTTTCATTTTGCTGATGTTTTCTTTAGCCATGCAGGAGCTTTTTAATTTGATGAGGTCCTATTTGTTTCCTCTTTTCTTTATGTCCCTTGCTCTAGGGGACATATCAATGAAAATATTGCTGCATGGAATATCTGAAGTTTTCCTGACTATGTTCTCCTCTAGGACTTTTATGGTGTCACAACTTATATTTAAGTCTTTTATCCACCTGAATTTATTTTTGTGTGTGGTATAAGTTGGTGATCAAGTTTCATTTTTTTTGCATGTAACTGTCTAGATCTCCCAACACCACTTGTTAAAGAGGCTATTTTTACTTCATTTTATGCTTCTGCCCCCTTTGTCAAATATTAATTGACCATAGAGACATGGGTTTATTTCTGGGCTCTCTGTCCTGTTCCATTGGTCTATGTGTCTGTTCTCATGCCACTACCAGGCACTTTTGATTACAGTGGACTTATAATATAGTTTGATATCAGGTATTGTGATCCCTTCTAATTTGTTCTTCTTTTTCAAAATTGCTGCAGCTGTTCACAGTCATTTTTGGTTCCATATAAATTGTTGAAGTGTTTGTTTTATATCTGTGAAATATGTTATTGCTACTTTAATGGGGATGATGTTGAATCTATAAATTGCTTTGGGTAGTATGGACATTTTGATGATGTTAATTCTCCCAGTGTATGAGCATGGTACATGCTTATTTTCAAGAACTTTCTAGAAAGTAAATATTATTTTTACCCATTTAAACAGCACAACTATTTAAAAATTATTATTGCCATTACCTAAAAGGCATTAGAAAATGCCTGGTTGCGTATAAAATCTAATTTAAGAGGCAGACATGAAGATATTCACAAATGTAGTCCTGTATGCAATTTTAAGACCTGAAAAATAAATGGGTCAGAGAGATAAAGTAAATAAATATCTGAGCTATATTTAGGAGAACCTAATTCACATAGGAGGGTCAGGAAATCTGTGTGAAAGTGTGTTTTAGTTTTTGACCTTAGATTTCTTTTTAATTTTTTATTTATATATTTATTTTTAGAGAGAAGGGATGGGAGGGAGGAAGAGGAGGTCAAATATTGATGTTAAAAAGAAACATTGATAGGTTGCCTCTCATACACATGTGCCAAATGGGAATGAACCTGCAGTCTAGGCATGTGCCACGCCAGGAATCAAACCAGCAACCTTTGACTTAATAGGACAATCCCCATCTGAGTCACAACAGTCAGGGCTAGACCTTAGATTTATTAAAAAAAATACACTACAAATAGAGAATAAGAATTTTCAAACGTGAAATTTTATAGATGTATATTTATGTAATAAGCATCAGTGAATAAAATGTGAAATCTGAAGTAAAATTAAAATGTACACTGGCTGCCCTGACTGGTGTGGTTCAGTGGGTTGGGTGTCCTCCTATAGACTGAAAGGTTGTCAGTTCGATTCCTGGTCACAGCACATGCCTGGATTTCGAGCCAGGTCCCCAGCTGGAGACACATGCGAGAGGCAATTAATGGATGTTTCTCTCACACATTGATGTTTCTCTCCCTGTCTTTCTCCCTCCCTTTCCCTCTCAGTAAACATAAATAAAATAAAATTTTTTAAAAAGTATGATGGCTGCCATTGCCTTATTTAAAAAATACATGTTTAACTTTGAGCATTTGAAAAATGTATAAAACAAAGAAAAATTCCTTATCTCTCATAATTTAAATATAACTACTTTGAATGTTTTGGTGTCGTGTCCAGCATTTCTCTTTTCTGTGAAAAGACATATAAAATATTTGGTTTCATACTCTAAACTATTCTACTACAACTGAACTTTTTAATTTTTTTATTTTACTTATTTATTTTTAGAGAGAGGGGAAGGGAGACAGAAAGAGAAGGAGAGAAACATCAGTGTGTGGTTGCCTCTTACACACCCCCTACTGGGGACCTGGCCCACAACCCAGGGACATGCCCTCAACTGGGAATCAAACCAGTGACTCTTTGGTTCGTAGGCCGGCAGTCCACTGAGTCACACCAGTGAGGACTACAACTGCACTTTTAATAACGTGTATTCAAGGGGCATAGTATTTGCATATGTTTCTAACAAGTGATGTATTTTTACATTATTTCTTTATCCTTTAACAGGCATTTGCCTGGTGGCCGGATTTACTGGCAGAGCATGCAGAGAAGTTTTGGGCTTTATTCACAGTGGATATGGATACCGCACTGGAGGCTCAGCCACAAGACTCCTGGGATAGTTTTCCTCTTTTCCAGCTGCTTAATAATTTCCTCAGAAATGACAGTAAGCACTTACATTTGCTCTAGTCTGTGAAATGGGGAGGGGTGAGAGAACATTGTGTGTGCGGATGTGTATTTACAGAACTCTTGCAACCATGTGTCAAAAGTCAAAATACATAACATTATGTCTTCTCTTCCTCCCTGAGTATATCAGGCCAGGATCTGGGGAGACCAGCGGCACTACCACCTTGCTCCACTGGCCCCTGGAGTTTCACTGGTTCCTGCCCTCCTGCCTTCACTGAGGACTGATAGCACAGACACCCTTCTCACTATGCCTTGTGAATCAAAAAATTCCCAAGGTTAACATTTCTAAAGCACTTGAGAATACTTTGATCTCTGAAAGACACCTTAGAAATGTATCATTATTTTAGAAATCATGCTATGTAAGGTTTCTACTAATATGGGTTATGGTAATACTGTTTTCTGAAAAAAATTCTGAAGGTGCTAGTGGAATAGTGCTATATGGTCTGGCTTGCTCTCTTAGTATTTAGAAGTTAAAGAGATTCCATAGGTTCTCTGTTGAGAGTTTTTTTCCAAAGAAATATAACTTTTGCAATTATTTTGGTACATGGTCTTCTAGCAAACAGTATAAACCTAGTTTTTCATCAGAATTTTAGGGAGGCGCTTCTTAACATGCAGATTCCTGGGCCTTTTGTATAATGATTCTTTAAACTCTCATTTAGTAGGTACCGAGAGGCTTACTTCAACACTTGCAGTAATCATGAGGTCACTAATTACCTCTTCTGTAAAATTCTTCCCATTGCAGAGCAGGTTGAGCCCTGCCTCCCCCTAAGCTCTGGTTCTGACTCGTTCTGCTTGATCAGTGTAACAGCCTTCTTCTATTGTGTACTTCCTTCTCTAAGCCATTATTCCCATGCCATTCAACTCTTCCTCACATGATAGGGTATTCGTGCTCATTATCATTCTTGTCACCTTTTTCTAAATAGACTTCACTCCATTTTCCACTATTGCTCGGGAGTGTGGTGTTGACAAGAACACAGCGCTCGCACGTGACCTGAGTAACCCAGACCCAGTGAGAGATGTCTTTCTGCTGCCTGTCTTCCCGCGGCCCACAGCGGCTCCACCCTCAGGAACTTAGTCACCTTGTCCATGCATTTTATTTTATTTTTTATTTTTTTAAATTTATTTAATTATTGTTCAAGTACAGTTTTCTGTCTTTTACTCCCATCCCAGCCCACCCCCCCCAGTGCTCCCCACCTCCCTCCCATTTCCACCCCCCTTAGTTGTTGTCGTCCATGTGTCCTTTATACTTGTTCCTGTGAATCCTTCCCCTTTTCCCCCTGAAATTCCCTCCCCTCTCCTCTCTGGTCACTGTCCCCCTGTTCTCTATTTCAGTGTCCATGCATTTTAAACATTCAAAACCAAATCCTCTTGCTGCTCTGTTTCTAGGACATCACTATTATGTACTTCTAAGTTTAAATTTAAATCTAAGTTTTTATATTTAGCTTTGTTTTTTTAAAAAAATCACTCTATCAGTCAGCTTTGTTCATCACTCTAGTCCATTATTTCTTACCTTTCTTTGGTTCATCTTTATGGGTCTGGGCTAAAACTACAACTGTTTTACTGGGGAAAAATTCACACAGATAGGAAATTGTGTGCAGTACCAGACTCCCCACAGACATCCAGATAGGACACCACGTTAAGAATGCCTGTTATAGTAAGAGAGGCATCATGTTATTGTAATTAATAATATGGGCTTTGACAGATTCACATCTGTCTCTACCACTTGCTACTTGACCTTTGACAGTAGCTTAACCTCTGTAAATTATAGATTCTTCATCTATAAAAGAAGAAAAATAATAGTGCATACAGTGTCATTGACAGTGACAATTAAATAAAATAATAGCTCATATGCAATAGATGCTAAATAAATATTATGAATATTAACTATTGAAACTTCAGTCCTGATTCTTTTAACCATCTTACTCATTTTTCTCTCGTATTTTATTTCCAAAAGATCCTATTAAAAAATCAAAGAAGTAAGCTACAATTTCTACTTCGGATTCAACCACAATGTCTGCTCTCGGAAGTTGTTAAACCCACACTCAATTATCTGTATGTGAATCATTCATTCTGCAAATTATCTTCATCCAGTATTTAAGTTCCAATTTGGTTTCCTCCTGCCAGCTTGCAGACTCAGAACAACCTTCTTTATTGCCAGTCTCTCACCTTCATTCATTGTCTGCTAAGAAGTCACCAGACAGGAACAACAAACTGGCTGCCAGAAATACTTATGTTGTGTATTAATTTCCTAAATGAGAATAAGTTAATGTAAGATTATTCCAACATTGCTTTCTCCATTTGCGAGAAAACCCAAGAATTAACCATATTTAGATTATTTTGGAGTTTATTCAAAAATGAAATATTTGTTAATGTTGACAATCATACTACTAGTAAACATGATAAATCATTTAACTTATTTAACATATTAGAATTTATGGAAAAAATCCAAACATGTGGTAGATTTCTTAGATGTTTTCTTGGGGAATCTCTACTGCAACTCCCATGAGTTGACATCTTTTGATATTTATTTTTTAAAAAGCTGTTACAGCACTGTTTGGTGTAGTTTAGTGGATTGAGCAGGGGCCTGTGAAGTAGGGAGTTGCCAGTTTGATTCCCAGTCAGGGCACATGCCTGGGTTGCAGGCCAGGTCCCCAGTGGAGGACACATGAGAGGCAACCACACATTGATGTTTCTCTCCCACTCTCTCTTTCCCTTCCCCTCTCTCTAAAAATAAATAAATAAAATAGTCTTAAAAAATAAAGAGCTGTTACACTGCAAGTATGAATTCGTGAGAGTTATATCAAAAAGAACACTAAAATAAGAATTATAGAAATTTGATTTTCAGCCAGGCTTGCAAATATTTAGTTCAAAATAGGTACATATTACTCTCCTGTTTTAAACCATTTCTATAACATTGACTATTATTAAATGTACAAAGTATTGTCTTATGTTATTTAGGTATACATTACTCAAAACACGAAATTATTTCTTACTGGTATCTTCTGAGTATTATGTATTTGGGGATTAAGTCTAGATCTTGGCTGTGATGTTGTGGCAATTAGTAGATTTTTAGGAAACATTGGTTATTTCAGAGGAAAACAGCCCATCTGTGCAGTGAGGTAAGTAGAAAAGTCCCCCAGTGCCACAACTCCCTTTTGGTTTGGGGCTGCGGTGGGGGCTGGGGGCATAGAATGTGTGATTTTCTTCCCAAACGCACAAGAGAGCCAAAACTGCTGAGTAATATCTCACAAGTTAGTGAAACATATTTTTTTGCTATTAATATCACCTTTGATAATAATGTTAATAATTGTGTTTATTTTATTAAATTCCTGAAATATTTAGGCAGTGATTTAGTGAATTCTCTAGAAAAGTTAAACATTAACTTATACTGCCTCCAAATTTTCTTTTTGGAAAGCCAATGGGAAAATATACAACTTAATCCTTTTAACCCTCATTAAAAGAAAGATCCTTACATCACTGCCCTGGTGTGGCGGGTTCTATCATATTGAGCCCATTAGAGTTACAGTCCAAATTCTAACTCATCACAGCTTTAACCAGCTGCGGGCAGCAAGAACAGGTTGGTCTGAAATGTCCGGTGTTGAGACCAGAGGTAATTTGCTGAATAACAGTGCTTACTGTTCCCTCACACATGGTATGCCACTGGTTATGTAAAGATTTTTAAATGATCGTGTTTTGTTATTAATAGTGTCACATTTTATTTTGCTTTTTCCATAATAAAATTCCTAATATATCTACAATTAATTAAGGTATTAGTTAGAATTTGTACTTTATTTGTACCTTAAAAACCTTATAGCTGACTTGTTTTTGTTTTTTAATGACTAATTTAGATATTCCACAGGTCGTTTGCCATCTTTCATTAAAATCTTTATGATTTGATATTCCAAAATAGATATTTTTTCTTTAGTAGAGGGGAAGGGGTCTTTGACAAGACTCTCTGTTTTCCAGCTGAGGAAATGGAAGTCCTCAGAGGCAAGGAAGCCAGCAGGGCTCGCCGACAGGGTGTCAGGGACGGAGGAGAAGTGAAGTCTGATCCTTTAGTTCCTAGTTCTGTCTCCGTCTACAGTGACAAAAGCAGATTCTCGGGGCATTTATAAAATAATATGATATTTTAAGGAAGATAGGTGATTTCTTGAGATAATGTTTATAGGGTCTTGAGTTGTAGGGACAGAGAAAGAGAGTTGGTTAAAGAATGCAGAAAAGGCCAGGTAAGGGTACATATCATCTTAGTGTGTATGTCACAAAACATCCATGATGAGAATTCTGGGGACTGAACTATTATTGGGGAAAGGGATTCAAGAAAATTTAATTTCTGCTTTAAGGTGGAAAAGTATTATCTGAGTCATGTGCCTTTTCTTACCGTTGAGCATGATGAGGGAAAGTCATCATCATGGAGATGAAACATGGTTTCCCTCAAGGGAGGAGTACCAGCTGCACCATCATTTTAGCAACTGGCCCTAATCTCCCACCCCTCACAGACTCACCCACTGATTCCCAGAGCAGGACTGATAATGAAAACAAACTCGGGCTCCTCATTTCTGTCCAACACATACAGCTCTCCCCTGTGCCTCTTCCCCCTGCCTCCATCCACCCTCATCTTCTCCCCATGAACTAAAGAGATAATTGTGGTTGGGCAATCCTTATAAATGGTATCTAAGGAAACAGTTTTGAAAAAGAGATGTATTAAAATTGAAGGGAAACAAGTGTTTTCACAATGAAGCAGTTAGCGTGGTATTTAAATGATACTGAATGACCATAAAATGTGTACAAATAGAATCTACCCATGCATGCTATTTCCCACAATTGTCCTGTCGATACAGATATGGCAAGTGACTGCTTCTGCCAAATGAAAGCCATCTGCAAGTGGCACAAATCATTTCTTTCAGCACCACTGAAAGGCAGACCCTTGGAACTAGTCACCTTTTAATCTGTGGATATGCTAGCAAGTGGCAAATGACCATT